CGGGTGTGGGGTGGGTGGGATAAAAAATAAAATTTAAAACTAAATTCTTTAGGAAAAAAAAAACTTTAAAAAAATTGGGGAGGGTGGGGGATGGTAGGGGAATAAGGGTTAAAGAAAATGAAATTTTTAAATTTTTTTCAAAAATAAACTTTAAAAAAAATGGGGAGAGGGGTGGGGGTACTCAGAATTTTAAAATTTGAACTATTTTTCAAAAATAGTTTTTTAAATGGTTAATTATTATTTTTTAAAGAGGAGGGTCAAAGTAAGAAAGAAATTGTAACTTGAGATGGAAGGAGAGTTTTGTAAAATGTTTTCCTTAATTTCTGAAGGGAAAATGAGTTGATTTGAAAAATATTTTTCAAAACATTTAAGTCAACCAAAAATTGAAAAAATTGAAAAAAAAAAATTCATACCAAACACACATGTGATCTCCTGACCTACCACTGGACCTCACTTACTCTTTTCTTCTTTCTGAAGGACTTGGCCATAACACTGCAGTCGGGGCCAGGTGATGTCAACTAGGGTAAATGTAACTTAGTTTCTAATGCTCTCTGAGAGATTAGAGAGTGACATTATTTAAGTAACCCCTCTTATGTATTCTGACATATTCTACTGCTGCAAAACAATGAGAAGGGGAACTTGTTGAGTTAAAAAAATCATATGGTCCCCCAAGTCAGTGGCTAAACAACATGGTCTCACAAAGTGCTCTCTATCATATCAATGCAATAGCCAATTGATCTTCTTGAAATCATGGCCTCTGCTAGTCTTGATCGAGCCTCGTGATGATGACTTAATAGTGACAAAGTGGTAAGTATAGCCCATCTTACCAGAGAGTCGGCTTCATTCTCATTGTAGCATAACCACCTTAGCACTCTGTCCAACTGCCCACAGTTAATGGAAAAGCAGTCAGCTACTAGTCCTACTTAGGCTCCACATCCATAAAGCAAAATATTATAGGCAGCATGTCACCTTTTGAACATCTGAGTGAAGTAATTCTGAGTATCCAAATACCAGGTGCTCTGCTGCTAACCCTCCTAGTATCACACACAAGAATCTGTTCAAAGTCTGCTAAAAAAAACTACAAGTTATTTTATTGAGACTTACTCAACACCTTATTGAGTTTTAAACAGTCCATATTAATACTAGTGAAAAGTGGCTTGGGTAAAATATGGATTGGGTAAAAATCATTCAGACCCATTTTTATATCCTAAAGCCATAAGCTTGCTATAAAGATAAACTTTACCAACAAAGATCAGTGTTATAAGTTGTGAATAAAGACCCTGTTATCAATGATCCCATTCTCGTTAAGTTAAAAGTTGTTCCTTTTTTAAACTCTCACAATAATATAATTATGCCACCAAAGAAGAGAATCAATAAGTTCAATAATAATTATTTTTTTCCCAGCAATATAAGTACACAAAATAAGTTTCATTATATATTTTATTGAATAACTATAAAATTACTAATCATTTATTTCGTCTGATATGAGAAGTTTACAAAGACACGGACCAGTGGGCAGTATGTGGCATACCCAATTTTACCCATATATATCCATATTTATATGGGTTAAATATGGGCTGAAGACCAAATTTACCCATCTAAAATATGGGCAGGTTGAGCCGCTTAACAAAATACAAGCTCATTTTTGCCAGCACTATTTGTATCTAACTGAGTGTCATGCTACAAGCCTACAACAATGGCTGTAGCTATAATGCTACGTTACAATATCAATGACGCTAGAGTTGGTCCATTAAGTGACTTAAATTCATTATATTTGTAGGTCAATGGTAATGGTCTGAAATAATGTTCACAGCTACACCTGATATAACACAAGAATTGAGGCACAACTTTGGGACAGAAAAGTCAACCATCTCCAAATCAAATAATAATGATTTAAGGCTGGCAAACATTTATAAAAAGAAAAACAATCAAAATAGCAAGAAATCTGACCTGGGATGAGATTTTGGCCCTGTTTTCCTGCAAAGACATTGCATTTTAAGCATGGAAGTTAGAGTTATGGTTAGAAAAGCATGGAGATGTGAGTTACTCAAAAAACGTAATATTTCTACATAAAGGAATAATAATTCAGTGCATTTTTCCACAAAGATCTTTAAATGTGGATGAATGTCGAAGTTCAGTCATACATAAAGCAATTAGTTTTATACACCGGTGAAATAGCTTATTTGATTACAACATTCCTCATAAGTTTACGACATTTACATGATAATAGGATTTCAATTTGTGCACATCCAGAATTTTTATTTTTTATTTTCTGGTAACAAATGTAAATATTACCATTAACAACCAAACCAATACACCTAAAGAGCACCTAACTCCATAATACCTTCTAGGAAGGAGACTATGTGAGCTAAGCCTCCAACATATCTCTAATTACATGAAAAACTGTTGAATTAAAGAGCCAAATCTTTGGACTTTCCTAGTCTTTCTAACCATATCTAATCTAACACTGAAACGTAGTTTGATCTGTGTAATTGTTGTATTTGTAGTCACAGTAGTTCCCCTGTACAGTTTCCAATTCCTGGCCTGCCACACATAATATACTATTGAGCCCCAAAGTGCTGCTATTATTTCCTTGTAAAGTTGCTTCCAGTGCCTCCTCCTAATTCTATTCAACACCTGTTTGACATCTCCTGATGGAATCTGCACTCCAGTCCATTGAGCTATTATTGTAATGAGTCCTTTAGTCCAATCACATACAGAAAATAGGTGGTGTTGTCTCTCTACAGCCTGAGCATCAAACAAAATGCATGTTATAGTATCCACTGGTATATTCATCCTTTGTAGTCTATCTTTGATCAGCAATCTGCCCTGCACAGCTAACAACACAATGAAGCTATGCCTTCGTTGAGAGATTTTATTCCATATCAACCCTGCAATCCTCAATTTACTCTTCACTCTATACATTGATGCATAATTAGCTCATTCATATAGACCCCATGTACCCATTTAAACCACAGTACATCCTTCTTGACTATTAACTGCCATAACAGTTTACCCACAGATGTCACATTCCACAACTTGCTTCCTTTAATATTTAGACCACCAAACTTCTTAGGCACACAAACTTTATCCCAAGCTACTAATGTTGTCTTCCTCTTGTCCTCAGAGCTGCCCCATAGGTACTCTCTACATTTCTTGTCAACTTATTGTAAAACACTTTGGGGTAGTATAAACACAGAACCCCAGAAGCTATGAATAGAAAACATAACTAAGATAATCACCTACAGCCTTCCTGCATAGGATAACTGTTTCAATAGTGATTTTCTCAATCAGTTGATGACACTCCATTTGCTCCATTTCTTAGAAGATAATGGTAGTCCAAGGTACCTAATAGGAAATGAGCCCTGCGAAAATCCTATTCTTGACAACAATTGGCTTTTAGTGTTGTCATCCAACCCTGTCATGAATATATTTGACTTGTCCATATTTGCAACTAAACCAATGACACTACTGAAATGTTGCAAGGGTTCCATTATTCTGCTTACTGATGAAACATCCCCTTTGCAAACTATCATCAAATCATCTGCAAATACTAAATGTGTCAACTTGACTTTCTTACACATTGGATGAAACTGAAATTTAGGCAACTCACTCATACACTTCAATGTCCTGGACAAGTACAAATAATAAAGGAGACATGGGGTCCCCCTGCCTTAGTCCTCTTTTACCAGCAAAAAATCCATGTCCTTCTCCATTTACCTTGACAATGAACATAGGAGATGTGATGCAGGTCATGACAAGTTCTGTAAATCTGTTTGGGAATCCAAGCCGTGCAAAGCTTCCTTTACAAATTCCCAGTTGACCGTGTTGTATGCCTTCCTCAGATCAATTTTCATCAGGCATTTAGGAGATGTTTGTCTATTATAGTGTCTGAATAGGTCATGACATATTAAAACATTATGCAACATTGATCTCCACTAAACAAATGCAGATTGGTTGTCTGTCACTATGTGGGTTATAGATTCCTTTAACCTCATACAAATTATTTTTGTTATGCACTTACACAACACATTCCAATAAGAAATAGGTCTGAACTGAACTGGCTGGCAAATTCTGGTACAGACACTTTAGGTATCAAGGCAATATTAGTAGGGATTAAGTTGTTTCAACAGCTTACCATTCCCAAAAAACTCTAGGATAGATTCTGTGATATCTTTCCCACAACCTCCCAAGCTGACCTAAAGAGCCCATTGCCATAGCCATCAGGTCCTGGGCTTTTGTTGCAGTCTATCTTGAACATTGTTGCCTTAACATCCCTTTGTGTGAATTCCTGTTGCAAAGCTAGTTGTTGCTCTATAGAAAGGTGTAACACCCCATAACTAGAAAAAACTAGAAAGAAGTTAAAAAGTGGAAATAGTCATTTTTGGAAAGAATATAAAAATCTGGAAAATTTGTTAAGTATGTTAAGTTGGATTTTTGGTCAACTTCAAACGACTATAACTTCTAACTCAGGATAATGAGTTAGGTGTGTTTCCAGATATCGTAGGAAAGATCTTGGAATAATATTTCCAACGCCGCTGAGTTTGCACGATTCCGAGTTCGTATAAGTGAGATATTCCCATTTGAAGTTGGGTTGTTCAAATAAGGAGAGTCTAATACGGATTTTAGAAGGGCGTTATGGTCTTTTCCTTGCCCAATTATTTTATTACGTTTTTGGGTAATTAATTGGGGTCAAATCAGATTTTAGTCAATTTAGAAAAGTTGAAGTTCACGCTAGGGATTGGAAAAAGAGAAAAGAGGAGAAAGGAGAAGAAAGTTCAAGATTCATCATCTTCGTAAGGAATCGCATGTGGATTTCGTCAAGGGGTGATCCCTACGAGGTATGTGAGATCACATAGCGTTAGGTTAATTCACCCACGCGCCAAGCATGCTTAATTCAGCGTAGTTTCGTCCTAAAAAGATTAAGAATTTGATGTTCTTGAGTTGTATTCTTTAATTAGTTTCGTTCTTGAATTTGGGATGAGATTGAGGAGTTCTTGAGACTTAAATGTTGATTATTAGAGTTGCTTTGAGTTAGATTCTTGTGTATATGTTTTGGGTACCTGAATCAAAAGAGATATTGAGAAAAGAATTGAAATTAATCGAATTAAGGTCAGAAAATGAGTTGAAAAATTCGTCAGATTGCACCTGGGGAGGGACTGGCGCGGCGAGCCCCATCTAAGCCAGAGAGACTGGGGAGGCGCGCCAGCAATGCACCATTTTGGAGCCCCAGTAAGTTGGGATGGCGCGGCACGCCAGGGACGCGCCCGGATAGTCGTTTTCCACCAGCTTTTCGTCGTTTAGCCCGTTTAAGTCTTTCTAAAGTGTACTAACACTTCCTATTGATTCTAACTACTCTAAATGACTTCTAAACATCTAAAAATCATCCAGAAACATAAACATGAATCATAACCTTGAATCCATAAATTCAAATTCAAGGAAAGTTAAGAGTCAGGTCTAGGAAGTTCTTAGAATCCTTTCAAGAAGTCTTTTGCAAATGCTTTTAACTTTGTTTTAAGACTTAAAGTTCAAGTTGAGTAAAGAGTAAAGAGTAAAGATTGAAGTTCATTTCTTCAAAGAAGTATATGGGGACTATGTATTCCCAAAGAGTTTAAAAATATTTTCACATTTAAATAAGAACGGAAACTGAGATTTCCAAAGAGCCTTTGAGCTTGTTTTCAGAAAAGAGTAAAACGCTTTCATATTGAGCAAGAGGGGAAACTTTGATTTCCAAGATAGCCTTTGAGCTAAGTTTTTGAGCAATTATCTCAAATCACAGAAAGAAGTATGTTTTTAAACATAAGAGCTAGTATCATATTTTTGGGAGTAGTATTGAGCACCGATATGGGGGAGAGTTCAGAGAACTCACAGCCCCCATAAACCATGTAGCCATCATGGATTGAAAAGGGTCATAGTTTTTAGATGATTCCTTTAGTGTTTTTTAGCATAGAGTAGTGGATCCACTTAGTAGTTCAGGTCCTATACCGCGTGAGGCAAAATGATGTATCATCACAATAGCTCTTAAGTAATGGTTGTTGGTTAGAGAAACTCCCACAGAAGTAATTGTATTCTTATATACACAGTTTATTGTATTTTTACATACATTTCAGAGTATATGTATCTTTGCATACACACAGAGTTGACATCAAGTTTTTAAATAACTTTTCTTTATATTACACTTGTTTTAAATTGCTTTATATTGAAATCAGTTCAGTTATGTTGAGTTGAGATTCCCCTCGCATACTCGTACATTCAATGTACTGATGCCATTTGGCCAGCATCTTATTATAATGCAGACACAGGTAACCAGGATCAGCATCCAGCGCATCGTTGATCCAGTTGAGCACTCAGAGTCTTGTGGTGAGCCTCCTCTCTTCTGGAGGATCCCTTTTATCTCAGATGTTTGCTCTTTAGTCTTTTCATTGTCATTATCTTATTTTGAGACTTGAGTTTGCCTTAATTGCCAATTGAATGTTCCTTTATAACATTCCAGTTTATTACGTAGATTTATCCTTGTTGAGTTAAGTCTTCCGCTGAGTAAATAAGCCAGGCCAAGGGTTCGCTTAGGGCCAGCAATGGTTCTAGAGTGTTAGTCCCTCCCAGGGTATAGGCTCGGGGCATGACAAACTTGGTATCAGAGCATAGAGTTCAAGAGTCCTAGGGAATCTATGAAATTCCTTCACTTCTTTCATACTCATTTCGTGCGTTAGAGTTTTATCTCTGAAAAAGTTTCTTTCTAACTCGTGCTTGCGTGTAACCGATTGTGAGTTGGACTGTTTTGAGAGTGCTTTCATGGGGCGTTTTTTCCCCGTGAGCTAAGAGAAGCAAAGAGATGGTTGCCGACATAAGGAGCAGGATGAGTTTATTCGTTGTTGGGTTGCTTCGTCTGTCAGATAAGAAAAGTAAGGCAGCCATGCTAATATGTGACATGGGCATAGCAAGGCATATGATCCATGTGCAACAAGTTGAGGAGGACA